TAAGGGAATGTCCAGAAGAAGCTGGTTCATGATCCAAGTTTGATATTGTAGTGGAAGTGATCCGGATACTTCAAGACGAGACTGGTTCATACAGACTTGTGAAACAAGTTATTGTTAGAATGGAGAAAGAAGAAGTATGGCTGTGGGTGATCTATTGATCTGAGAAATAAAAAAAAGACAAAGAGAAGAAAAGATACTTGAAGAGATTCTGGTCTGGAATACTTTGCTACACAAGGTAGTCCGTATAGTCTTGGCTTCCACTTAATCTAGAGTGTCTTGGAAGGAAAGGCAGGTGGGGAGCTCGTCCAGATTGAGCTCAGGAGACATTGTTGACCGTTGGAGACAAGCTGGAGCAAGTTTGAATGAGTTTGAATATTAAAATGGGTAAAAGTCACATGTTACACTTAAGGGAGCTGGTATGGGCTGTCACTATCAACAAGGAGACCACACCACTTCCTCCTGTCACTCTCTACTCTCTCTGGTCGAGAATCTCCTTGGCTGCTTGCTCCTTGGCCTTACTCCCTTATAATACTAGTTTATGACCTTCCCCACTTGTCATTGTTTATTGTATTTTCCCTTGTCTTGTTTTGTTCATCTTTGACTATATTAAACCTCTTGTAACCACGAAATAAACTTAAGCAGAGGAGTTCTCTAGCTTCAACTATTCTTTGGTTCTCCATTTTCATTGATCTCTTACTCTCTCTAGTTACTAAATACTCTCAAGAACACTCCTTAAATTCTCTTATACTCCAGCCGCATTCTCCTTGATTCTTCTTGCTATCTCTCATTCTTCTTATTCTAAATCGACCTTACTATCTCTCTACATCAATCTCACACCCTAATATTCATATTCTCACAATGATCGCATTATGTTTCAAAATAATTTACATGTTGTAGAGTTATACAAAAAAAAAAATTAATTTATTATAAATATGTTGTTTTGTGTTTAACTATTTTCCATTATTTTTAGCCAATAGAAATTAAATAAACATAACTAATTTTGTTGAATTTGTTTTATGATTATTATTATTATTAGATAAAAGTGTATTGAACATGTAAAATATATAACTTGTAGAAAAAAATATTTTTTCTAAATCATGGATCTTTTTATAAAAGAAAAATAGTATTTTATATTAACTGCTCAACTGAAATAGACAAATTAAATAACAGGAATTTTGCTAATAAGTGAAATTAATCTAATCTATTGCCTTTACCATAAAAATTATTTTTTCGAACTTTTAGATGTTGACTACCCTTACATTTTCTAAAACATTTATATCAATTTATTGAAAAATTTAAAGAATTTTGAAAATTATAAATTATTATATTAACATATATGTAAACTTATAAAAATATTTTGTTAGATTATTATTAACATACCATCAACAACCAAGTGATGGTAGTCTAGTGGTAATCTTTTGGAGCTTGGTGTGTACATACATCAGTTTTGGATTCAATTCTTCGGGAACTAAATTATCATTACTTGTCCAATTTGGATTTGAATTTTGGCCCAGGTGATTTACATGGTGGATCGTAGTTACCCTCAACATTAGTCAAAAGGTATTCTAAAAAAACTACTAAAACATTAATCTATTGGACTTAGACTACAAAATATATTGTATGCGAATCCATTTACCTCAGTAGAGTATACAATCTACGGTTACTCTTATGTTCTTAAAGACAGTGTCACAGTAGATATTAGTAAGGACGTCTAAATTTTATGCACCGGTCTTATTCTACTGATGTTTACATTTAACCGTCATGTCTTTCAACTACAGGTTGAAATATAAAGAAATTACTAGTTCATGTGTAATGTACCGTTGGTTGAATCTATCTTCTGCAAAATTTGTAATCTTACAAAAATCTAGCAAAAAATAGTTAGTAAATATTCACAAAAAATTATTTACTTATTCGTTATACTTTACCTATTATGCAAGATATCACCCTCTAACTTTTCCTCTAAACAATATTTTTACTTTACTTGGATGTGAGTTCAAGAACTTTCGTGAGGAATTTCTGATGAGATATATACTTCCATTGATGAAAATGAAAAAGGGGAATGTAACCACTTAAAGATGACTAAAAGGCAGGGAGGTCAAATATTGGAACTGGGGGCGGCTTGGACATCTTATGACGTGATTAAGGCTGAACTGGATTATACATTGTTAAGCCTTGTAAAATCAAGATCATGAAGAAGAGAGACAAAAGTTGAAGATGACACTGGAGCATCTATACTATATATTGATTAATTTAGAATTCACTTAATTGACTTTTCTTGAAGCAAAGACCAAATTCTATACATTTTCCCATATACATCAGACGCGGTCAGACAGAAGTGCTCCTCAGAAAATTGACTCATTTGACTACCATTTGATCTAGTTTTGATGGTGGTTAACAAAAAAAAAATTGACTTTTTATGTGTTGTTCATAGGTGAAGTTTTAATTTTTTTTTATAATTTAATTGACTGATGCCTTTTATAATTATTTATTTTAATTAGGTCTAAAGATAAAAAAATAATTCTAGAACCAATTAATATAAGTTACCAAACAACCCAAATAATATTACAAATTTTATAATTTATTGTATAACTAGTTGCACAATTATAGAAAGACATAACGTTTCATCAATTCGTTTATTTTATCAATTATTTATACACATTTCATATAATATTTTAATAAATTCTATAGAAATAAATCTATTAGTTGTATATATATATTAAATTTGTATGGAAGGCATTATTAGAAATTTTGAAGTTATTTATAAACATTTTTTCTTGCTTACAAAATCTTTTTATTAGAGTTTCTAAACATTTATAAGACTTTTAAATCATTTATAAAGATGTATAAAGCTAAAATTTTATGAAAAGTTTCATATTCTTCTAAATATATTTATAATTATAGAAATGTATATTTATATTGATTTCTAAATCATATATAACTATTTCACACTTTTTATTATTATATTAAAATAGAATTCATTTAGGTGACTTTTGATTACTACAATGAACTCTTAATTGTTATAATTTTGATGAGTTTTATTCATTTTTATCAATTCTATTTTATTTTATTTTAAAAGGAAAATCAACGTTCAACTTTTAGAATGGAAAACCTTAATACGATCCAAAAAATCTTTTGTAATGATGGATTGTATTATTGCATTCAAGTTCAAAAATCAACTTCTTTTCCGTACTTGATAGATAGACAACCTTTAGGTTGTTTTCTTGATCTAGATCTTCTTCTCCATACCCTAATTATAGTCCTTACTTTCTTCTACTCACGTCACGATTCGTTGTACTTGTAAACAACAAACCTTACTCCAGACAAAACTTAATATAAAATTTTGAGAGTTCAATTTTCAAAAAATCACAATATTATAAAATTAATGACAATTCATAGCAACTAATGCAAAAAAAATTTTTTTAGTATGTTGTTTCATTTCAATAATGTAGATTAACAAAAAAAATCCATGTTAATATATAAATAGTACAATTACATCAAATTTCACCAGTTATAAAATTTCTAATATAATATTATGTATAAATATAAAATTATTATTAAACATTTATATTTGAAAATAATATATTTTACTCTATATGTAAATTAAAAACATAAATTTTTTTATTTGTAAAATCAGTGGTTTATGATTTTATGATGAATGCAAGTTAAATCAAACATCCGCACTCCCATATGAGTTAAGTTCTAGTGCTTCTATTATAGAGGAATGCTATTTCTTCTTTTAAATATAGGTGTGAAACTAGCAATTTCTATTTTAGAAGAAAATAGAATAAAAATAGAGTGATTTTAATTTTAAATGTTATTATAGAAGCAAATATAAAAGAATGACTTATTCTTGGGTTCACCCCTAAGGTGAACCCAAGAATTGCATCACCATCCAATAGAATTGCATCATTTTATATTTGATATCTTTTTAAAAAGGAAACAAAATCTTAATAAGTTATATGGTGTGTTTTAAATATAAAAATACAAAATAATTAAAAAATAATAATTAAGAAAAACGAAAATAATTATTTAAAAAAAAATATTTTAACATTAAACTCTAAAGTCTAATCTTAGGTAAATCACAAACCTTTGGATAAATCTATAAAATTTAGTGTTTATGATTTACCCAAGGGTTTAGGGTTTAAGATTAGAGTTTAGGATTTAGTGTTTATGATTTACCCAAGGGTTTAGGGTTTATGATTAGAGTTTAGGGTTTAGTGTTTATGATTTACCCAAGGGTTTAGGTTTAGGATTAGAGTTTAGGGTTTAGTGTTTAGTGAAAAAAAAAATTTAAAATATTTTTTTTTATAAAATTTACCAAAGATTTATGATTTACCAAGGGGTTTAGGGTTTAGGATTAGAGTTTAGGGTTTAGTGTTAAAATATTTTTTCTAAAAGAATTATTTTCATTCTTATTAATTATTATTATTATTTATTTATTTTTGTATTTTTATTTTTTAAAACATAATATAATTTAACAAGATTTTGTTTCCTTTTTTAAAAGATATCAAATATGAAATGATGTAATCATATTGGAGGGTGAACCCAAGAATAACTCTAAAAGAATTGTTGGAGATGCGCATAAACACAATGGCATGACGTGTATAAGATAATTATGAAAAATATAAAATTATCACTAGCTGTTAGTACCTATATTTGTTGGTATCTGGTTTGGTCATTGGTAATCCGATAACTTTCATTGAAGGCATTGTCTACAAATTGCAATTCAAAGTCATGTTTCGTAACCAAGTTCAAGTCCATGACCATGTCCAACACACTCCTCTAAAGATATGATATTAACATATATTTTGTTTCTTTTGTCATTACTATTTTATAGGAAAACCGATCTATTCATGAAGAGGAAGGATGTTTAAACAAATGGGCTTATGGTTTGGGCCTTAAAGAGCCTAAAAGCGAAACCTAAAAATGAGAGAGAGCTTCCTCCTATAAATCATAAACCCTAACATCATTTTCGTCTTCCTCCGTCGACAGCGCAAGCCATGGTACGTACTGATCTCCGCCGCTCGATATTCTCGTCTTGTTTTCTTCATTTTCTGAGCTTGATCTGGTGGTTTTAGCGGATGCTTAGTTGTTCCTTAGGTTTGTTAATTTCGATAGTGGAATCTAGTATTGTTGATATCGTGTTTGGTGCCTGTAGTGTCCATTAGTTAATGCATTAGCGAGATGACTTGTATGTAGGTTCCTGTTTCTACGTGTTGTGAGTGTTTATTCTGATTTACTTGCTTTCGAAGTTGATTCATAGGGTCTTGTCTTGTTGTTGTTGTTGTAGGGTATCGATCTGATAGCGGGAGGTAAGAGCAAGAAGACCAAAAGGACTGCTCCAAAGTCCGATGATGTCTACCTCAAGCTTCTTGTCAAGGTAAAATGACAAGTTGTGCTATGATTCTACCGTTTCTTTGTTTTTTTAAATGTCTATGATTGGTATGGTAGATTGGTCTAATGAGATTTTCCCTTTCTGCAGCTATACCGGTTTTTGGTAAGGAGAACCGGCAGCAAGTTCGATGCTGTGATCCTTAAGAGGCTTTTCATGAGCAAAGTCAACAAAGCTCCTCTTTCACTCTCCAGGCTCGTCGAGTTCATGAATGGCAAGGTTCGTGTTTCCTTGAGTCCCACATTGTCCTATTAGCCCTGTTCTGTATTTCGTTTTATCTTCGGCTCTGTGTATATATGGTGTCTTGTCGCTGACGCTGCGCGTCTTCCTCCCGAACAGGGCTATTATGTTAGGACCAGAGAATAAACCTTACTGTGTAAATAGATTTTGTTTCTATGGATCCGCCTAAACTATGTAGCGTTTTCTCTTGATTTAGGATGGTAAGATTGCTGTGTTGGTTGGGACAATAACTGACGATTTGAGAGTGCATGAGATTCCTGCCATGAAGGTTACTGCCTTGAGGTTTACTGAGAGGGCTAGGGCTAGGATTGAGAAAGCTGGTGGAGAGTGCTTAACTTTTGATCAGCTTGCTCTCATTGCTCCCTTGGGACAGAACACGGTGAGTCATAATTTGCAAAATGAATCACACCTTTATGTTAGTTTAAATGAAGTTGAACTTATGTTGATGTGTTGTGTGACAGGTTCTCCTTAGAGGACCAAAGAACTCTCGTGAAGCAGTGAAGCACTTTGGTCCTGCTCCTGGTGTGCCACACAGCCACTCCAAGCCCTATGTTAGGTCTAAGGGAAGGAAGTTCGAGAAAGCTAGAGGAAAGCGAAAGAGTCGTGGATTCAAGGTCTAAGAATATCTCTCCGCTGTTTCATTATGGTTGCTTTCATAATGAAAGTTTTGGTAGAGAACTCTCGTTCGTCTTTTCCTGTTGCAGACATTGTTTTAAGTTTTCTGTGTTACTATTCTGAACGACAGTTAAATGTTTTGCCTAATACCTTTTTGAGTGTTTTTATGCTACTAAGCGTCGTTCGAAATTTTTCTAGTGACCACAGGATCTCCATATTATCTATATAAGTTAACTCTTTGGAAGTGACCCCAATGTTCCAATTCGCGAACTTGATACTATATTACGGTATTAGTAGCCTGGGCATTTTCCCATGTCGGGTCCGGGTCCTTTGGGTCTTAGATATTTAGATTCGATAGGGTAATTAGACTTTGTCAGTTCGGGTCCTACCGGGTCTGGGTTGGTTTCGGTCTTATATAGTTGGACCCAATAGGGTAATTAGTATTTTATTGGTTCAGATTTGGTTTGGTTTTGGGTCGGATTCTATTGGGTATGGCCCAAAAAATACGTAAATACACAAAAAATACCGAAAAATATTTAAATACCTAAAAAATAACCAAAATTTTATCTAAAACTTGACTCGAAGACATAAAAATATCCAAAACTTTATCTGATTATTCGAATTATATTTAAAAAATCCTAAAATTTTACTTAAAACCCGTAGTTTTATCCGAAAACCTATATCCGAAACATAAAATAATATTCATAATACCATAAAAATACTAAAACATATATATACATAATATATACTAGAAGTTTTGGATATTTCGAGTACCCCATCGAGTCTCGGGTTCGGGTCGGTTCGGGTTCAAGACCCGCGGATCCTCCACTTCAAGATCCAATAGAGTAAAATGATCGGTTTGGTTCATACCCGAACCCGCACATTTTCAGGTCGATTTCGGGTGAGGTCTTCGGGTCTGGATAAAATGCCCAAGCCTAGGTATTACCTAAGTGTCTGTCCGAATCACACGCTTTTATACTTTTATATAATAATAGTCTTGACCTATCGTGTACGTGAAAAAAGGAAAAACAAATTGTTCAAGCAAGTTTACCGTCGTTGTTATTATATCATAACTCGTATTGTATTCCCAGTGATTCGCAAATGATTAAGGAGCAAACGAGATTCAAATTTATATGATTTCTTGAACCAAAATCTCTCAAATTCTAGAATTCTTCTACTAGGGAAATTGATAATGAGCTCAGCTAAAGTTGCTTGTATAATAAGAACGTACTAAGGTTTCTCAGCACAAAGTGTATGTACTCGAACAACATTGGAACACAGCTCCATGGTAACAGGAGGTGTCTCAAAAGTTCAATATTGAACATTGGAAGTTAGAATTGGTCCTGATATACGCACCGATAAAATCTCAGAAACCATTTCTCGAGTTTCCAAGAAGAACAATGTGCGAAAACAAAAGAGTTTCCAGACCAAACAATAAAATGGAGATTAAACGTAAACCAAATTCAATATGCTGTAATATAAAAACCCAATTCCACGATAAATATGTCCTCTTGGATAAACAAAACGAAAATCTTAATCATCAGACCTAGAATCTGATCAAAGAAGGTCTTACATCTCTGGTGCTTAGAGTAAAACTAGTCGAAACTTGCATTCAAGAACTTAAGCAACTCATTTCTCTTGCTCTCTGCAGCTTTGTCCTCTTTGGATTTGTCAACCTTCAGCATAATCTGTAGCCCAAAACACACAGAAGACCATGTGAGGAACAAAATAAATCTTGATTTCGATCGTTAATGAATAACAACCCAAAAGTAAGTCTTGACTAACCTTCTTCCCAGAAACAGCACTTCTTCGTTCACCATCGTCTTTGTCCCGACCCAAAAACTGAATCAGAGAATAGAGAAGTCACGGTGAAACTCATGGTTAGAAAAAAAAGGAACTTGATGCAAAGTTTGGATCTTTATGGTACCTTGGATAGTTTAACAGGCCCGCTGCTTCCTTCTCCTTCCCCATTCTATACAACACTCACATCGCCAAGACCAAAAGAAGAAAAAAAAAACAACAATGTCCCAGGTTTATCACGTCACCAACCCCAGCTCCAAGTTCGAAGAGGCCACAAAGAAAAGGCAAACGAAGTATCATAAGTAACTTGTCATCTCGATGAAACTCTTTTTATCAGAGGCAAAAGAAAAAAAGAGTTCATATCAAAATAAGACAAAAGCTCACACCTTTCTGTCTCTGTTCTTATGCCGTTTATGACGATGACTCTTGCTTCGCTCCTTATCCTTACCCTGTAAACAACAAAAGTCTCACTTTTTTAAAGCTGAAAAATAATAAGATGATGTTTGAATCTGAGCTTAAAAAGTAAACCTTCTTAGGCTTTTCATGCTTCTTGTGCCTGCGTGACCTCTCATATTCACTATCCGAACTCTCACTTCTGCAATTACATAAAATTTAAAGAGAATCTTACATAATATTCGCATCTAGTTTTCATTGATACCAAAATCAGAAACCCATTAACAATATACAAAAAAACAACCAAAACATGAAATTAGTTTGTAAACCACGAACCTGGAGGAATCGGAGTGAGACGAATCAGAGGAATCGGACGAGTGGCGGCGCTTACGGCGTCGTTTCGAGCTGGACCGGCTCTTCTTCCGTACCTTGAGCGAGTCCCTGTCTCGATCGGTTCTACGGCTGCGACGACGATCCTTGCGGCGGCGATTGGAGTCTGACGAATCGGAGGATACGTCTGAGGAGGAGGGAGACGACGAAGCCGCCATTGTTTCAGAGGAAAGTTAGATCTTAAGGGTTTAGGTCAATGTAAGAAAAGATATATGTTTGGAATAATAAGTGGGGGTTTAATTGCGTAACAAATGACTTTAATGGTTCTTAGTATAAATATTAAAGGGTTGAGGAGTTATATGCAATTTGAGAATCCTCGCTTTACAAGTTATACGACCCGGATCTAGTGAAACACATAACGAGCCGATTTACTTTTTGTTTGGTTCTCCCTTCAAAACCATACTAGATTTTGATCCGCGTTTAAAAACATAAATTTTTTATGATTAAAAATTTATAGAATAGAGTTTTATCTTAATTTAAAGAATACTTTGATATAAAATCAGTTCACCAAAATTTGTGGTGATGATTGTTTTTCATTAGTTTTTAGTTTGATTTTTACTTTTAGATTTTGTTTTAGATTTTGGTTATTGATTTTTAGTTTTTAAGTTTCTATTTTTGATTTTCAGCCTTTGGTTTGTGTTTTTAATTTTTAGATCCGTTGAGTTAGTTTGAACTGATATTACCAACAAACAAATCCTAAATAATCGAACATCTACTTTAAAACTGAAAAGATGACAAAAAAAAATTTGCAATAGTTTATTTTGTAAATAAAAAAAAGCAAAAAAATATAACTTGTGTCTTCATCTTTTGGTTTTGATTTTTGTTTTTAGATTTGGTTTTTAGTTTTGCTTTACATTTTTTTTAAATCAGTAAATTATTTAAGAAAAATAAAACAATAAATTATTTAAAAATTACCATTGAAATTTATCAAAATAAAGTGATTTTTATTTAAAATAAAAAATACATTAACATGTTTTAAAGTACATGATTTAAATAAATGATTAATAATAGACAATTTTGTTTTGTTAAAAATATTAAATACCTTTTGGGCCTAAAAATAATAATTAATTTTTTGATCTATTAAGATGGAAAGTTTATTTAATATTTTTGGAGTGTTTCCTTAATACTAAGCCCAAAAACCAAACTCTATAATTTGTTCTAAAAACAAAAGTAAGCCCAAGACTATATCCCATAAATAACCATCGGTTTAATTTAAGTAATGCAGCTCAATTAATTATATGGCTTGTGTTACATATTTGTAACACTCTAGAAATGGTCCAAATTTAAATGACAACTTGTATCAGTAGATAAAAAGAATGACTCTATTTTAATAGAATAGATGCCTATAGGAAAACTCTATTTCGAATATTTTTAATATATTATTTTTAAATTTTTTATAAATAATAGCTTTTATTTAGAAAGTCAAACACTAACGCAATTTATTTTAACATTTCATAAAATTATCATATCATTTACATTAATTTTTTTTAACAAACTAATATATAAATAAAACATATGATTACATTTATATAAACAATATATTTCCAAAGTTATTTATTTTTTGTTATAATTAATAAAATAACTAAATAAAAGATCATTTTGTGAATGAAAAAATATGTTTTTTTGTCATAATTCTAAACAAACTCATATTGACTCTACAAAACAAAGTGCTAACTCTGAATCCATATGAACGACACATGATAATTATTTTCTGGCACTGCGTACAATACTGTCCGTCTGTGAATTTTGCGATCTTGATACATGGATGATTTTTTTTAAATGGGGAGCTTTCTTTTATTGTCTTGATATCCTCCAAAATAAGTTGCAAATGCCGACCATTCTTCTGGTTCCAAAACCATCTGCACACATTGAGAATAATCCATTGTAAAAGTAATATGGTATTGACACAAATTCCTCATATATTTCATTGCCTAAATTAGCGTTTCTACCTCAGAATGTAAAAGCGAGAGGCAAGCCCTAACATTCCTTGCCCCCATCACTCCATTAAAACTTTTAATGTACTATACCAACCTTGTCCGAAAAAATCCAACTTAATTTTCCATGAACCACTGTAAAACACCAGTATCCTCGGAGGATGGTATATTAGCAGCCTCCACATGTTGTGGTGCTCTCTGTATATGCTCCATTTGAGTTTCAGCCCAAATAATTGATTTTACTTCCGCTAGTTTAAGTGTGTCTATAAGATGAATATCCAAGTTGTTAAAAGTTTTACTATTCCTTTCTTTCCACGATCCCCTACTTATAAATAGACATCTCCGGCGCCATGATTTGCACAGATTTGTCTCTCTTCTCCCCTCAATATGTAACCAATTTCACAAGGCATGAAAATTGGTTCCTTAAAAATCTCCGACGGTGCTGTTACCTTATATTTCCAGCACCATCCCGAGTTCGAGAGACTTGCAATGCTTCAGAACGTCACACCAAAACCGATCTTCACATCTCCCACTTTTTTCATTGAAATCTTCTCTTGCTTACACTTCTTTTATTGTTGCAGACTAGATGACATTAGAGACATATCTTAATTGGTCTCCTCTGTTTACTGAATTCGCAGAAATTCTTAGACCTCAACACTGTAAAGTCTACACCAGAGGTCTGATTTTTTTTCCCTTACCAAGCT